TTGGGAACATTGCTTTGCCTCTAGCAGTCTGTTTCCTTATCTCTAAAATAGGGACAATGTTGCCTAATTCATAGAGTTGTTTGAAGAATTAAGTGAATTCATTGAGGAAAATCACTTACAACAGTGGCAGACTTAGAACAGTGGTATATTATAGCTATTTTTATTATTGATTTCCTTTGATCATCCATGATAATCATCCTCATCACTATTACTGCTGCCACTGCATTAGGTTATATCTACAATTTTTTCTCTTTTAAATTACTCCTTGGACACATTGGAGGAGATTTATCATATTTTCTAGTGTTTTATTATTTTAATTTAACTTATTTAACACACTATATTTTTATTACATTTATATATTTGCTATTGATTTATTTATATTTTTGCTTTATTGTTATCTTCTTTCAAGGAATTTAATGCTATCTGAGTTATATTATTCCAAATACATATAGATTTACACTTTCAGTAGATACCTTACGTGGGATATGAATTCTATCTGAGTTATATTTTTCCAAATACATATAGATTTACACTCTCAGTAGATACCTTACGTGGGATATGAATTGCCAAGATGTATAGTTGGTACAACCTATTAGTAGTTCTGTGTTATCTAGGCCTAGGCTTTCTTCCATTTTGCTGAGAAACCAGCAGTCTCACCCATACCCCATGTCCAGAAACCAGAAGTTGTCAGGGATCTGAATAGATGGGGGACAAGTGGCAAATTACTATTGTTGTCTCTTAGATGTGTGGTATGTGGGAACCACTTTGAAAAATGTAAAGTTCTCTGCAAGAACTATAGTTATTTATGGCTCTAGAGAACAGAGAGAGAAGGTGGGAAAATGAGAGAAGGGAAAGCCTATATGGTACGTGGCCCTCAAAATGATAGATCCCATATGTGTTGGTCCAAACTGCTCTGTGGCCCTCTACTCTAGGGTGCAAAGGAAGGCAGGAGATGCCCTATTAGAGTTCAATGTTATCTCATTATTTCTTCCTCTTAGTTTTCTTGGAACAATAATAGCAAGTAGTTTTGCTAAAGTAGTTGCAAAAGTAGTTGATACTCCCCAACCTTCCCACTCTAATAAGTATTGTCATGGGGCTGGGACCTTCTTCTCTGATTTCTTAACAACTATTTGCGGGTGTCTTCAGTGAGCCAGGCTTCGAGCAAGGCTATTTTCTCTTGGCCTCCTTTCAGGCATTGTATGAGGCTTACAGCCATTTCTCATTATTTGGCCTTTCAGAAGGAAGACAGGGCTTCTGCTTCTACATCTGGATCTCTCTTCTCACAACACCAAAGCTGTGAGAAGTATGACCTGATGCTGTTTTTATATTTTATAAGAACTTGCATTGCAAGTTTTATTTGTTGAGTTATTGGCTTTCTTTTATGACCCATGTCCATATGTAGAACTTTGTGATATACACTTTTGTTTTAACTTCATTTTTGGTGCTGTTTTATGTTCCTATAGTTGTTTTTCTATCTTCTCATTCATCTGCTTTAGATTTATGCTGTGTTTTTATGTATTGCTCCAAGCCTCTTTAAACTTTTTCTGAAACAAAGCAGGGAATACATAAACCAACAGTGCGGTTTTTTGTTTTTGTTTTTGTTTTGAAACAGGAATCGACTTAAAGCCTCCAGAGAAGTAGAATCTATAGACCTTCCAAACTGCCACCTGATTAAAGGAATTGGTACGTATGAGAAAACGCTTGTTGGACACATTACATTGTTTGGACCACCAATATTAAAACACTCATTAAGAGTATTTTGGCATGCAACAACTGTTTCTCAGTGAATAAATCACATTAGGTCAACAGAAGCCTCTTTGGTCAATCTCTTTTGGTCTCATGTACACTGTATTTCTTCTTTCTTACCTTCGCTATAATTTATTACTTGTGTGATCCTATGTTTATTATTTGATTTCTTGCTTGTTTAGTGACTTCTCTGAACTATTTTTGTAAAATCTAAATTCTTTGTTGTGTATGGTCACTGAAGTCTGTGTTCTGTTAGCCTAGTGGCCAGCTAGTGAAGGGAAGTCAGAAGGAAGGTAGTTCTACATAGGCAGTAACAGTATTTACCTTGCTTACCAGTCTCACCAGCATCTGGTCTTATGCCTAATGCATAATTGATGCTTCACAGTATGCACAGAAAAAACTTATTGTTATTTTTATCTTCAAAGCCAAGACTATCTTCAAAGCCAAGACTGCAGGGGAGAGAACAATTAGTGGGGTTTCTCTGTCCCCTTGACTCCATGCAGGATGCACCCAGTGCCAGAGTCCTTGAGGAAGGGCTCCGAAGAACAGGCCCTGGTTCTGCTGTAGAGAGTGAAGGATCTGTCCAGATTCTCCCCTAGCTCCAAGGGCCTCTCCACTTTGTTTACTTTTTTCCAGGGCAGAGTCCATATCCTACTGTTTTTTACCTGTTGCCATCTGACAAAGACTTGAGATCATAATAGACTGCTAGTAACTGTTGTTCAGTTATCAATGAACAATTAAAACATTGGCTTTTCTTAGAGCTAGTTCATGATATGATTAGAAACAAAAAGAATTAAAAGTCAAAACACCTAGTTTCTAGTTACAGTTTGTCCACAATCTTACAATGTGACCTTAGGCAAAGATGACCTTTGTATTTTTCACCTGTAATGATAAGTTTATGATTAGAATAAAGGTTTTTAGAAGTGACTCTCCTGGGGTTTCTCCTCTTTCTTGCAGTTGCCCAAACACTTAGCAAGAGGATGCAAACTCAGAATCAAATACCAGACTGACTAGATATGTGCTTGATAATGCAGACAGTTCTAGAAATAAGGTTGTTCTGGAATGCCAAGAAACTCAGCAACTTCATCCTACCTTCTGGCTGCAATCAAGAAGAGCCCCCCAGGACTGGTCCCTAAGCAAAAGCCAGATGGCATCTGTAATTGGTACGTATGAGAAAACGCTTGTTGGACACATTACATTGTTTGGCCACCAATATTAAAACACTCATTAAGAGTATTTTGGCATGCAATAACTGTTTCTCAGTGAGTAAATCACATTAGATCAACAGAAGCCTCTTTGGTCAATCTCTTTTAGTCTCATGTACACTGTACTTCTTCTTTCTTACCTTCGCTATAATTTATTACTTGTGTGATCCTATGTTTATTATTTGATTTCTTGCTTGTTTAGTGACTTCTCCGAACTATTTTTGTAAAATCTAAATTCTTTGTTGTGTATGGTCACTGAAGTCTGTGTTCTGTTAGCCTAGTGGCCAGCTAGTGAAGGGAGGTCAGAAGGAAGGTAGTTCTACATAGGCAGTAACAGTATTCACCTTGCTTACCAGTCTCACCAGCATCTGGTCTTATGCCTAATGCATAATTGATGCTTCACAGTATGCACAGAAAAAAACTTATTGTTATTTTATCTTCAAAGCCAAGACTGCAGGGGAGAGAACAATTAGTGGGATTTCTCTGTCCCCTTGACTCCATGCAGGATGCACCCAGTGCCAGCGTCCTTGAGGAAGGGCTCCGAAGAACAGGCCCTGGTTCTGCTGTAGAGAGTGAAGGATCTGTCCAGATTCTCCCCTAGCTCCAAGGGCCTCTCCACTTTGTTTACTTTTTTCCAGGGCAGAGTCCACATCCTACTGTCTTTTACCTGTTGCCATCTGACAAAGACTTGAGATCATAATAGACTGCTAGTAACTGTTGTTATCAATGAACAATTAAAACATTGGCTTTTCTTAGAGCTAGTTCATGATATGATTAGAAACAAAAAGAATTAAAAGTCAAAACACCTAGTTTCTAGTTACAGTTTTTCCACAATCTTACAATGTGACATTAGGCAAAGATGACCTTTGTATTTTTCACCTGTAATGATAAGTTTATGATTAGAATAAAGGTTTTTAGACTTTAAAAAAATCTTGGACCAATTATTTACAATCTTACACTGAGAGCCATAGTATGGAAATAACTAGTCTACCACTGTATTCCTTCTAGTCCTTATATTACAACATCCTTCTGTAGAGCTGGGAGATACAGTTTTTATGTTTTGTTTGGGGGGGGTTGTTTGCTTTTTAAGAAATTAAAATCCAGGTTACACAGAAGTGCCCTACTCATTTCCTAATAGGTAAAGTTATTAAACAAGTTTTGCGTGTCCTTCCATACTTTTTCTGTCCATTTATGAATACTCTCTCACAATTTGTGTGTGTGTGTATGTGTCTGTCTGTCTGTCCAATTATACATAACATTTCAGAACTAGCTTTTTGCATCTAATATTGTGCTTTGGAAGCTTATGTCAGTACACAGTTATGTTTTTTTTTTAAAACAACTGTATAGTATTTTTCTCTTTCTGTTTTGCTTTTGCCCTGTGGTTAGCACATACCATATGAACAGTTGTTGAGTGCTATGTTAGTGGATGCATAATGATTAATAATAATTTGTGGTTATATGTTTTTGTCTGTGAATCCCACCTTCTGTGAATTCAGGTCTCAGAGTAGATACAAGGGCACAACCAGACACATTACAGGACAGACTGCCAAGTGTATTCCTGTTACAACTTACTGGGATGGAGCGTTCCTTAGAGAAAAACAAGCCCAGCAACATTGTATTCTGAACAGGCGTCTGTCTGTGTTTGTGACCTTTATGTTGTGATGTGTGTGAGCTGCTGTCTGGAATTGGAAAGAATGAGGAAATATGTCACCTACGGCCCCTCTTGTGAAGTGTATAATGCCTCTGAGGGACTTCAAAAAGCGACAGTGCAGAGAGGATGAGTGATTAGAAACACATTTGGGATACATTTTTAGTTCTAATTAGAATTGTGGGGCTTTTTTCTTTCTTTTTTGCTTTTGCCCTGTGGTTAGCACATACCATATGAACAGTTGTTGAGTGCTATGTTAGTGGATGCATAATGATTAATAATAATTTGTGGTTATATGTTTTTAATAACAGTTGCTTATTCAGTGGTCTTTGATTATAAGGAGTAACAGTGTGCTGGACACATAGCATACATGCAACTTTTTATGATAAGCAGCAAAGGTATAGAGGACCTTTTTTTTTATTTTCTATTTTAGAAACAGTACTAACCATGCACTTGAGGTCAGATAATCCTGCCAAGTGGTGAGACCCCTTCCCCCTTGCCCTCTGTCCCCTTCCACACACACACATCACAATGCTACAATCACCATCACTAGAAATGAACTCTTTGGTGCTCTTGGGTGCTTTATACATATCATGTTGTCTCACATCTTTCTGTTTTAATAAGTAAGAATCATTGAGTACATATTATTCAGCAGTCATTGTCTACATATCATATCATACAGTGTGCCTTGTGTGGGGCAGAATGTTAGTTCAATATTTATTACATTTTTTTGTCCTTCCCAGTTCATCTTACAGACAGAAACTAAGCTTTTACACACCAAAGATTTGGCATAATATCAACATCTACATAATACAAATTATAATGACAAGATCTAGTCAACTTTATTTCAGGCTTAAATGCTTAATTAAAAATCTTATTTTCTAAATGTCTGACATTCAGGGTTCTGGACTAAAACAAAATTTTGAATGGACTTGAGTTAACTAACAGTTTTATGGACTTGGCTGTTAAGACCTTTACAATAACTGCTGCTTGGGAGATTGGTTGAGGAGGGGAAGGCATTCAAGTCTGTAGCTCTTGTCACCACATACTTTATAATCTACCTGTGGTGGGGGGGGACAAAACAAAATTCACTATGGTATATGGACTTTTTTTTTCTTTTTTCTTTTTATAACAGATAAAGACTTGAGTCTCAGAGAGGTTAAGTAACTTTTGCAAATTCTCCTTCCAGTATAGTATCTTTCCCTGGGGTGATTATCATATATACCTAGCTAGTGGAACAAAAAGAGTAGAAAAGAATAGGCTACCTCACATACTGGATACTCTGATGGGTATGGTAAGGGCTGATTTGCTGTTATAAAGTTGTAGTAGCATAGAGAAGAGAAAAGCTTATTTTTATTTTTCTCTTATGTAATAGTCCTAAGGCTAGCAAATGGTCTAAGGTGATTAGATGACTGTGCTCCATCTGGTCATTCAGGGATGAAGGCTGATGAAACCACACAGCTGTCTTCAACATATTGCGCCCATCTTGATCCAAGACTAGAACTCCAGTTGTTTCCATTTTCTAGTACAAAGGGGTTAGAAAGAAAATTTACATGGATATCATTTTTATTTTATTTTACCCAGTAGTTGCATACATCTTGTATTCTCACATCCCACTGACCAAAACTTAGGTCTATGGCCACATCTATCATCAAGAAAGGGTGAGTAATGTCATCTGTAGCTCTGTTGCCACATGCTTATTGCTAAAAAAGAAGGGGAGTATGGATACTGGAAGAATTGGCAATCTCTGAGACAGACAGGTAATTGCCAAAGTAATAAGAAGGGATCAAAATTAGACATGCTAAGCTAGAGATGATAGAGAAAGGGTTTTAAAAGAGGTTTTAAAGAAAAGTGACATTGATGAAGATCTTCCTGAGAGGCAAGAAGCAAAAATTTGGGGAAAGAAGCCAAGATACGGAATTGACCACAGTTGAATTACAAAATGAAGTATGTCTTTAGAGAGGAACCAGGAGATAACTCTGATAGAGAAAATTTATTAAATGCTAAGTTGAATAGTTTATAGATACTTCTAGGTCAGCCCAAAGGATTTGAGTTCCAGCTTCCTAGTTTACAACCCTGAGCAATTTGCTTATCCTTTCACAAGCTCCATATTTTCAACTCTAAAATAAGGGATATTGCCTCCTAGCATTATGAAAGTGTATGAAATAGTGTACAAAGTACTTACAAAGAGCCTGGTACTTGGTAAGCCCCTGAAGTGCATTAGTAACTGTTATTACTACTATTGTTATTATTGAATTAGAGGCGAAAACATTTCTCGAGCATTGACTGCTCTTACAGTGATCACACCAAAGAGGTGATATGAGATGATAAAAGCCTACCCCCCCCCCCCCCCCCCCCCTCAAGATAAGGGTGTATATCTGGAAAATATTCCAAAGAAAACTACAGAAAAGACTCATTTCTATCATCGCTATTAAGCAATCAGATTAAACAGAAAGAAGTTACAATATGGCTGAAATGAAAATATCTTTTTAAAACATTGTTCTTTTCTTGATTATTAAAACAACAACTATTATCTGTAGAAAAATTTAAACAAAGAAAAGTATAAAGAAGAAAATTAAAATCACTCATAATTCTACTACCCAAAGAATGGGCTGGCTGATTGGCTCAGTTGGTAGAGTGTGGTGCTGACAACACCAAGGTCAAGAGTTTGGATACCGGTACTAGCTAGCCACCAAAAAAAAAAAAGAAAGAAAACCAAAGAAACATTGTTAATTTTTATATGTCCTTTTTTTGCTATGTATGTAAGCTCGTACTCATTGAAATTAAACTTTGTGAAATAATATTTAAGGAAAAACAAATTTTAATTAATTGAGCTGCTACTAAATGGGTCCAGAAAGCAAAAACTTGGGCAGGAATTCTGTGTGTGCATGCATGTGTGTTTGTATGTGTGTGTGCATGTGTATGTGGTGTAGAATTCTGGTGATCTCTGCTCATTTTCAGTTGAGAACCATCATGGGACTAGAGTCGAGTGGTTCTTAACCTTTTTGGGGGAATCACAGACGCTTTTTTGAATCTGCTGAAAAGTCAAGGACTCTTTTCACGAAGTTCTCATCTGTACATATACAAGGCATTTTGCATTTCAGGGAATTTGAGAAGATTCATAGATCCCTTGAAGTGCATTTGTGTCTCTTTAGGGATCCACAGACCCCAAGTTGAGAACAACCTTCTTTCTGAGGAACATCTTTACAAAGTAAAATTCTTGGCATTTTTATTTTGTTTTGTTTTTCTGCAGTATGATAGAACAAGTAACACTGGAGGCAACCACCTACATGTAAACTCATGAATCAAAACCCAAATGGCTGGATAGATAGATACTGTTTGGGTTTGACAACCTAGAAATAATCTTGGAGAAATCCTTTGGAGAGGTCTTTAAGGGGAAGATTGGATTTTGTGGACTCAAAGAATGTGTCATGATTTGGCTTAATCTAAGCCATTTTTATTTCTCTTTTCTTGTGTTTGGGTCCATTATCTGTCTGTGGAATTTATACAGTGAGACCACTGGGAAGGTCTATGTCTAATTATTTTCTGTGCTGTGTGGAATGTACTACAGACAATCAATAAACAATCAATAGTAATTGCAGCCTGCCTCAGAAATGGGAGTTGGAAGCTTCAACTGGCTTAGGAGCATGGTATTTTTCATTAATTTTCTTTTGCTAGTTTTTTCTATAATTTAAAGCCTAAATTTAAAGATTAAATGGAAAGCTCTCTTTGCTTAAGAGAACAAGGAGGCACTGTTTTTTAAAGAGGGCCTGTGTAATCCCAGGTGTTTTATCTCTGCTAATGACAGAAATGTCTGTATGCTTCGCATTGAATAAGGAGAGAAGAGGACAAGGATATTTGCATGGTTAAATGACTATGAGCCCTTCCTTCTGAAAGTAATATTCCCCTGATGTCAATTACTTTTATACAGACATCTGGATGTTTATCATAAGAGTGTACAGATGTCAACTTTTTTTGTATTATAGCTGGAAATGTGGTGATAACTTGACTTTGATTTGAGTAAACATAAAATATCTAACATTTAAAGTCTGAAGTTCAATTCAGGAGGGGGTTTAGACTGACGTTTTTAAAAGAGAGTGGTTCCTTGGGAAAAAAATCGGAACCATATCTAAAGGTACAGACACTATAAAACAAACAAAATCCCAGCTTTACTCTGTCTAATAAATAAAAGAATTTGAACATGACATTTATCTATTCCTTGAACTTGCAGAAGCTGGCTCTGAAGATATTGACATACTTCCCAACGGCCTGGCTTTCTTTAGTGTGGTGAGTATCTTCTTCCTTCCCCAAATTCAGTAGAGGAGGTGCAAGTGTGTTTGATTAGACCTGCAGAGCAGTAACTTGCTTTTAAAATTCCTCACTTTCTAAAATATGTTCTGAAAAAAAGATAGGTCAAGTAGGATCTTGGAAAAGTTCCTCAGGCTTTTCTAAGACCGTCTTTGCCAGTTGATTTACTGCTCTTTATTTCCCCACTGCATTGCACTAAACTATTCCGAAGCAATCTATGTTTTAAAAGAGCATTATTAAAAAGGATATTTGAGGCATTATTGTGGATATTTGATACTACCATTATACTATTTTAAATACAGCACCTACTCTTCTTTCCATTACATATTCAGTTTTGAGCATATTTAGTTTTACTTATTCATATTCATTAGTATTTATTTCAAACAATATACTTTCCTAAACCAAGGCCAATGCTTTTTCTTTCATTCTCTTTCCCCCTGAATAGCCTTCATAGGTGGAAAGTCAGACTGAGGTTATTTATACCTTTCACTTTTGCCTTAATTCTTATAAGTTGAAAAATAATATCCTTTTTGAGAATACAATAGAAAGACTTGAAAACTGATTGGCCTATGGGTGCTGGGCTGAACCAATATCCATTCTAATTGGAAATCCAGAAAAGCAGGCAGATGAGGAAGTTCTGACCACCTTCCTCCCTGGCTTGGGCAGAGATAAGATTTCTTGGTGTCTTCATGGGCCCAGTTTTTCTTGAGGAAGAAGTATCCAGCTCTAAAGGCTGACTGTAATTATTCTGTTCCCTCTCAACATCCAGGAGGGATGTGAAAAACTTGGAGATACTTTTAGAATAGATTCCCAACACTAATAAAATAGTTGTCAGGCTTATGAGAAAGGTGAGAAAACTCAGCTTGGAAGAAAATGAGGGTTAGAACACTCTTTGGGTTCCTGATGGTTTTTATATGAACGATTGTGAGCAGCTGGTTATAACCACTGTGGGAAAAAAGAAATACTGTGGGCTTCAGCAGAAACACCAAGATTTGTATTTAATTTAAAAAATACAATTTTAAAAGAAAAGTTTTATTTAATTGCCTACACAGAATGACTAAAGTGATATTTATAGTAGGACTCTGGGTTTGTTTAGAAGCACATGCGTGTGCATGTGTCTACAGGCTTAGGAAAAAAACCTGGGATTACTAGTCAAAATTATTCATAACTAGAGATGCAAAAATCCTGAATAAAGTAGAAGACAGTTGCATTGATTTTTTTGTTGTTGTTGTTGTTTATTGCAAAGATATGTTCTTGGAGATTTGTGTAATCCAGAACTCACCTATTTCAAGATTCTCTCCACGGCCCTCCCAACCCCAGAACAAACAAAATAGGGGGGGGGTGAAATCTCCAAGCACATAAATCTATAGCCATTTTAGCTGAAGGGCATATTGCAGTCACAATGATTTTTTTTCTTTGGTTATATGACTTTTTTTTTTTTTGCAGATGTAGATGCATTCTCACTTTACTACTGTTTTTCATTTACTTGGCATTGTCTCTAACATTTCCCAGAGTGTACTTCCTTCTAAATGAATAGCTTGCACATCGTGGGGGTTGTTTGTTGTTGTTCTTAATATTTCAGCTCTTCTCACCCATCCTATTCTACAGTTATGAGGCTAAGGGTCACCTCAAAACTAACATCACACTTGATGAGGGATTGGATGGCACAGAATAAAGTATAAAAAAGACAATGAACAGGAGAATATTATACAACAATGTGAATGTACTTAACATTACTGAACGGTACATTTCACAATGGCGAATTTTATGTTATGTCTATTTTACCACAATTAAAAATAAAATAAAGTTTTAAAAAGAGAGAAAAAAGATTTAAATAATAGGGAGTGTTAAAATAACCATGAATAGTTACCACCATGTGGTACAGCTTCCTGTGCATGTAAACCGTGCAATTGTTTATGGGGCACTGATAAAGAATGGAGATTATTAACAACTGAAGTAGCACTGCTGTGTAGCAATAGCATAATTCCAGTTTGCTCTACTTCCTGGGCCTGCCAGCCCTGCAGTTATGCAGTTGTAGATAGATTTTTTATAACCGGAAAGATTCCCTATTATATCCAATTTGGAGTACAAGGTTAGTCTTTATTTTCTTATTGTACCCCTAAATATACATAAAATGTGACTGCATTGTATTAGTAAACTGAGTAAGGTAGTGCATTCAAATGAAATTTATTATCACCAAGAAGGCTTTACCTT